TTCAAATTAAAAAACAACCATGCATCTTACTTATGACTTTCCAGTGAACTTTTCCTTTTCATACAAACTACTAAATAGTAGTATAAAATAAAATACGAAAAATAATCTGATGACATTGATTTTACCACATGCCTAAAGTAGTGTAAAAATCATCACCAATTGTTTTTATAATTAAAGCTAAAAAGTGTAAATTAAATGATGTTGTTTATCATACATTTGTTTTTCATGTGCGCGAATAATATGTGACTTTCCATTGTGTTACTGGGAAACAAAACACGTTTGACTACATTTAATATTTGATATCTTTGACAACTTTATCGTATGGAAAAGAATATCTAGTATAAAACCTTCGTAGCGAAGATTTAGATTTTAGTAAGGAATACATTTTGTTCTAGTAAAAGTTATAGCGTGGCTACTTAACTCAATAATGGTACCGTTCTGCCTCAATAAGTTCGATAAATATCAGTCAACAGAATTGTCTTTTCGATTATATACACATCTGGTGCTGTAAAATCGTATTTAAAGCTATTTCTCACTTAAAGTGTTCGATAATGAAATGGAGAACTATTGTGTTACTGAAAGCGGTACTAGATATTACACAGAATTTTAAGTTATATCATGGTCAAAGGATAATAATAACAATGGTGAAAAAACGTATGAAAAAGATATTTGAAAGAATATCCACCTTACGATTATAAACGAAGATAAATGGATCAACAAACACGTAAAAAAAACTTGAAGATAAGATGTGGAACAAATTAGTAAAAGATGCTTGTCCATTCGAAGAAAGGTTGTGTTCGGAAATAATCAACAAAATAAAAAGGGGTGATAAGATCATGATAAAATAAGCGATTGGATTTACCGCTTCTGAACTAAAAAACTAAGCGTGGACTGATGAATCTCCAAAGACCCTACTATGCAGAAGTTTCTTATCCAGCTTCCCTTCGAACTAGTTAGTTTGACTTTGCAAATAATTTTGATTAAGGTTTCTGTGAAGACAATCGACTGGAACTGACTAGATGTTCAACAATCGAGCTGCTGACTGATTTATATTCACCTTTGTATATCCATACTGGACGGTAATCGTAGATGTGTTTAGAAAGAACATACTTGGTGCTTTCAATATAAAAAGACTATTCAAGAGCAAGTAAACTGGTAAATATGCCTTGTATTAGCTCAAAGCGGCAGTTTGTACTTTACTCGAACTTACATTAGTCAACTTTGAAAAACACAATACTTAACTCAGATAAATAAAACATTCTCTATTTCTCATTGAAACTATTCAGAAGTTACAAATTTCTTTCTGAGAAACTCAAATTTCGTATTCAGTATCTCAAATGAAAACAACTAGATGTTTATCAGTTTTTATAATCTGTTTTAAACATTTAAACTTTATATTATTTGGCATGATTATCATGGAGACAAGTATATTTAGTTAGTTCCCTTCGATTTCTTTCCTCTCATCATATACTGAGATGCATCTAAATCGTAATTATTGGACGTCATTTTCTTATGCATAAGATGTATTTTCAAAAAATCACCGTTGTATAATAACGTTTTATACACACTGCATTATTATTGTTGTTTATAGTTTCATCCCTGAATCAGAATTAAAACTAGTATAAATAAAACAATCATGTCATTATTAAGTTAGTTTATAATTTAAGAGAATTTCTCAAATGAATGGAAGTCAGATTTACAAGTATATTTAATACTATAAATTACCCAAAGTATTTGAAAGTAAATTGTTTCGTTACAATTTTAAAGTATGGAAATTTTTATTTCACCTCTTTTCTTAGAGAACTCACTTCTTAGAAACAGTGAATGTTTCGTCAATTTTAAATATTTTTGAAAAGCATTAATTCAAACAACAAAATTTGTCAGAAAGATTGATTGTTAAATTGACTAGATAACTTCCTAATTTTTTTGATTATTTTTCCGTTCAGCACAATTATAATTACTGTATGAAAAAGGTGAACGGAACGATTTAGGATAGTGGATCTTTAATTTTGTGAGAAACTCAAAACATCACAGTAAATGAACTGTATCTGATTAGATGCTAAGTAGAAATTGTCTATACTAAATTCCTAAGGTGCTCAAAATTGATAAGTATAACAGTTGTGCAGTCACAGGATGAATATGATGTAATATGAAATTTAAACTATTAAAAGCACATCTGAAACGTCAGTTTTCTAGTTGATGCACTTCGGGTGATTCAGTACATATTCAACGTTCCGCAGGTTTACTTGATCTGCATAACCTAATCGATACAGAAAAGTTATTTATTGACTACAATTTATGTGAATGATACCATCTCCACCATTAAAGAGTTTAAAGGTGACAGTCATCGACTGATCATCCGTAAATGTCATTTTGTCAACTCTATTAGTGCGATCATTGCCAATGTAGTCATTATTATGAAATTATTTTGGGGTTTAAAATGCCTCTTCAAGTAAAATAAACTCAAGTCACATGGACAAGCTTTTTCTTATCTAACCTACTTTGATTTAAAAACCACCTATCCTATTGCGGACTCTCATCTGTTTATTATTCATTTAGAAAGTATATATTTATCTTAGATTTTTTTTTGGTTTTCTAAAGTCAACTATTCATTTATATAACTTATTTACCAACTGGCTAAAATGTCGTTTAAGGTTGTCCATTAAAGTTTAGTCTCGAATTCAAGAAATTACAGTACATACAGAATTTCTTTAAGAATAGGAGTTAGGACCAAATATGTTTATTTTCCAGATCTTCTGTAATGAAATATTTTAAAGTGTTTAGGAAATCATCGAAAACAAATATACAAATACATGAAATCACAGAAAAAAGTGGTAAAACAATACTACATTATTATAGACCTGTACAATTGTGCATTTAAGTCAAATAATCATTTGTTAATAGAAGTTAGTTTGTTTATTTGTATGTTTAAATATGAATGATGAGTGAAATTAGTACAATATAGTCGATATTATGAAATAAACCAAAAATAATGAAAGAATCATTGAATAGTTTCTACAATATCTCTTATAAGATATGCTTAAATAATGCAGCTTTTACAAAGTAAATCAATGTAAATTGTAGTAGGATTTAATCAGTGACTGTTGGATGACATTCAAATAAATCTCATTAGTGTGAATGATTGAGAATAATAGAATATAATAACTTAATACAAAATTTAGAACTTGAATACGTTGAGAATGTTGGATCCTCAAGACTCACTTGGAAAAGGTCCTAGTTTTATAATTTTATTCTGGAAATTTGAATTTTACGTTCTCGTGCCAAGAGACGCTTATTTGACCTACAGTTTACATTTCTCACTCGGAAATCCTTGACTGTCGTTGGTTGACGGATGTTTTTAGTACGCTATATTGTGGATCTCCCAAGGGCGTTTCTATCATTGTATAAATAAGCTTGATTTGTGTGCTTAGCGACCTCGTATTTTATGGGTGCTTGTAGAATACATTCTCCAAGCCTTAGCAAGACTTCTTAATCTAGTTAGCAGGGCCTTGGACAACAGATTAGAATAACCTATCGTGTCAATATAACTTTGACCTTCGTTCCGTTCACCGAGTAAAGTGAACTCGCAATAGCATTCAAGCATATCATTTATAGGTTATGACTATGGTGACAAAAACTTCAGAAAAAAGCATTTCTGACCATATTTATTTGATAGTCAGTCGGAAAAATTCAATTCATATTGTTATCATTTATAATGACATCGATCTGTCTGTTTTAGAAATACCATGCCATGAATGAATATTTAATATGTACTTCTTTACAATCTATGTTTTCTCATCTGTTTAATGATTCATTTATGATCTTTGTTTATTTTAACTAAATATCAACTATATTCACTTGATGTTGTTTACTTGTATCTTCCCATTGTTATTTCGGACTGCAATTAACCAGTCTGTATATTCCATAAATTATATTCATCGCAAATAAATATCACTAGCAAACAAACAAGCACATCATGCCTTTCTTTTATGTCACAATAAACAATTCTAAACCATATTTCACTAATAGTCTTAGCTAGTAAACACTATTTTAATGATTTTATATAAAGTTAATAATTTCTTTTTATAATTCAATAAAATAACTAGTTTATCAAAGTATATTTCCTTTTTTTCGTACGAATTCATATATACTACTTAAATAAGTTACTAATAGGAAATTAATTATTATCATTTTTTTCAAATGAATAAAAACAATCCAGACACTTCATTGTATTCTGTACTATTTCAATATAAACGGATAAAAATATGCAGGTTGACTAATATATTAGATTGATTTAAAGAGGAAATTATTCACATATTTATCAGAAGTTTTATAATAAACAAATAAAATGCATCAATATATAACCTGGGACAATTTTGGAAAGTACAATTTTAGGACCATTTCAACTTTTAAGATTATATCCAATGTGTATTTGTGTATCTATGTGTGTGTTCAACACCTACACTTATTAAGAAATTTTCACATCCCACACATATAGATAAAGAGTTTAAAGAATATTATTATCTAAATGAGGAATTTTTCAGAAATTTATAAATTTGTGTGGTAACTATAACCAATCACAATTTGTTTAGCCAATATTCATTGGGTTAAGGTATTTGTAATTATGATTTTGTCATTTGGGAAGCATAATAATACTTTTTTTCCAAATACTCCATAAATACCTACAGTGTTTATTGTAAATGAATCATATGTCAGATAAATAGACCCAATACTTTCACTCCAAAAGTCATTTTGATAACGAGGGTTATTCAAATATTTTTTCGAGGTATTCAAATTTGCTTAGTTCGAAACTACATGAAAACTTGGTATTAAAACTAAATACAAAGTATACAATCATATATATTTACTAATAATCAACATCATATTTTTAATTTGAAAGTGATTATACTTATTACTGATTTATTATATATTATATCTTCAATGCGTGATTAAACAAACTTATTCATTATCAATAATGTTGGGTTACGTAACAATTGAAGTACAAGGAGAGAATATGGAAGGTGCAGCACGTCATGCTCAAAGATTAGCTGGAAATTTTCTTGAAGATATGGAAGCAATACAAAAAGCTTCTCGTGAAAGAGATAGACGGGCAATGAGTCATTTTGAAACTAATTCTATTGTAAGTCTACATTATATTTTGTTAATTTTAATCTTTTGAGCATTATATATTTATTTAAAAATAGTAATCGGTGTAGAAAAATATAAACATTTTTTAGAAAAGTATTTATGTATATATATCACTTCTCAGTGTGTTTACAAATTTCATGAATAAGAATCGCATAAATTATCATTGAAAACAAATAGTAATATCAAAATTACATTACAGTTCAGACCAAGCTAACGGTGTTGATGATGAGAACTGTAAGTGACGAGAAAATAGCTGTCAACGTTATTATTTTTAAGTTTTTAATTACTATTGATTTATTGATCAAGATATTCATCATTTGAAAAGATTATGCAAATAATCATGTTCACAATAATCGAAAAAAGATCCAAGAGTATTGGAATTTAAAGGATATTTCATGTTTTCTGAATTGTGATATGTGGTTCTTTCTTCAAATATATTTATCAAATAAACTAGACCATTGGGTTAGTTTTTAGAATTGATAGTGTACTAGTTCGAAAGGATTTTCATCAAAGTTTGGTTTATTGTATTATATAGTAACTTTAAAATGTTTATTAATCTGAACAGATTTGAGTTAAATAACATGGAACCATTTTGTTTCGTCAACTTATTAACGGCTTATATTAATATAAACAATATAATAAGTGAAATTATAAGTATAAAGTTACTTTTTATAGAAAACCAAAGTTGACCAACAATTAGTAGAAATACTAATCTGTATTGTAATGATATGTTGAATTAACACGAATACCATTGAAAGACAGATAAGGCAGTTTAACAATTGTAATGCAGTACCTAAATGAAACTTCTTGACGATTGTTATTACTTCCTTTAATAAAATTTAAAAAATATTTGAATACCATAAAATATTTACGTATATTTATGTGAGGTAATTAGTCTGTTTGATAAATTTTGATAGTGTAATAAGAAGACGAAGATTATCAGAAAACAAAATTATGTGAAAACAGTTTGAAACCTCATCAATCTGGATAATAAGCTCAGATTATCAGCGTAGATTTGAGGTGAGAACATATGTGCACAAGTACCTAAATGGTTGCAGAAATAAATAAAATCAAATGATCCAATAAGAGTAGAGGATAAACATTCATCATTCTATATTGTCAAACACATCATTGAAACAGGTCATAAAATTGATCTTAACTAGACATTTGTAGTGTTGTACAAAAGTGTAAAAGGGCGTATACTATGTTTTATTGAAGCCTTAGCCATACAAAAATTCATACCTCCTCTGTGTAATTAAAAACAGCTTGTTTTCACTTTAAACCTACCCTGATAATATTAACTTAATATCCAGTGTAATGGGTTTTTACATTATTTCCCATATTTTCTTTGTTATCTTTGTCGCCAATAACCCCCCATTTCGAATCTACTTGACCCATTAATTTTATATATAAATGTTCTTTACAAGTATATATGTGATCAGACTGTTTTAATTATATTGCCCTAATATACCACTACATAGTTCTGTTAATCTTCATCTTCTTATTACACTATAGAAATTTATCAAACGGACTAATTGTTTTAAATTTCTTAAAAGAAGACTCCCTGTACATACAAAAATTATCATTTTCATTTCATTAGGTGTTAAATTTTCTAGAGTAATATGTTTTATATGATTCAATGTTCAATTTGTTTCTAAGATAACATTTCTATTCATAAATAAATAACTCAGATCAGGTGAAAGTATAGCAATTTTTAATTGATGAGAAATATCACATTGAATAGAAAACAGCTTAACTCTAAAACTATGGAAATAGAAAACATTGTCTGATAGATTGGGTTGGTAACAAGAGCTTTATAATGTGAATAGAAACATCAAATTACTCAATTACCAAAATGTTAAAATAAAAAGAATATTCTAATTATTTGAATGTATAAAAATAACTATTCTTAGTGCATAATGTAAAACGTTTATAAAGGATTAAGTTTAGGTTTGATTTTCAAAATTTACAATATTTTACTCAGGACAATGTAAACATGTCACATACATTATGATAAGGACTGTAATCATTACTATGTTGTTACTACTGAATTATATATATATACATATAATCTTCATTTCGACGAAATCATTTGCTTAAGCTGTACATTCGTATATATAGTTATCTGGAAAACAAATGTCTATAGGAGGATACAAAAGATTGCATCATAAAATGAATTTGTGGCTAAATAACAAATGAGGTTACATACTAATCAAGGGGTAAGAAAGAAAATAATTGATAGGTCCAATTGTTAGATATGAATAAATTTCACAGATTGAAATCATGAGTCGATTGAAGCTAGACCAGCATGGAAAACCTGGAAGCACTTCACGGCCGTTTTGTCCTAGTATGGGTCTGGAGTTTGAATCTCGCGGGGTGCGGGATCGTGGATGCACGCTGCCGAAGAGTGTCATACTGGAACGAAACAGCCGTCCAGTGCTTCCAGGTTTTCCATGCTGGTCTAGCTTCAATTGACTCATGATTTCAACTATTGAAATTCAATAATAATCAAATAAAAGTGAAATAAAACACGCAAAGAACCAGAAACATGCCCATTAAACTGATAGGGGCCAAGGAAGGATGAGAGGTTGAACGAATCGTTTCTGTACACAAAGTTTAGGTTTGAGTTCATGGATTACCAATTCCTCAGCAGTGCATAAATATTGATTCGACACCACTTCTATCCAGTTCCTTTGACTCTGTAGAATACTTTAAAAGAAGAACCTTTGGAAGAGATGCGTCCACAATTAATTAAATGCTCCTGTATAAAACTAGTAATTGTTTTACATTTTCCTTTTAAAAGCCAAGCGGGATAATGTTCTGAGATGCGTTTATATATATATATATATATATATATATATATATATATATATATATATATATATATATATATATATATATATATATATATATATATATATATATTTAAACAGTTTAGGCTTATGATGAGACTAAGCATAACAGTCACTCAATCCGATGTAGTTTTCATCAGATTTTCAGTTGATATCAATACTTGATTAAAACTAGTTTTAAATTTATATCGAATGTGAAATTGGTGAATGCATGATGCATTCAATACCAAAGCTGATAACAAGTATATTTTTTATAGAAATACGAAGTTCAGTCGTTATATGAATTAAGGATTGTGGTTAATAGAGGAATCAAGGTGTTTTGTTTCATCATAATTGGTACTCATCGACTGAATACACGTGTTTCCCATCGTTGAATTTTACATCAATTCTATTACCTAGTACTTTTTGCCTTAAACTGACAACACGTTATTCATTGAGCATCGTATAGGATTTACATTTGTCAATAAAATTGATCGCAATTCAGTCAATTATTAACAACATCAGGATAATTCAAAACCTAATCTAATGGTAATATAACGAATATTGTCTTGAGTGAAACAGTTAATAGTTTGTAACCTCTACATATATCATACTTCATAAAATAAACGTTTTTCAGGTAAGAATATCGAATTGTTCAATGTCTAGTGGTCTGAAATCTGACTCCAATTAGATCGTATGAATGTTTGTTATCGCCTATCCTCGTATATAATCATCGACTTAAATAGCGTTAGTCAATAACGGGATTTAAATAAGTCGAATAACGAGAATGGACTTGTGAACACACCTATTTTGTATATAAAGCGAATGGAATAGAACAAAGCAAAACGACGCGCAGTGGAGATGGCAGGTAAGCCAACTCCCATTTAACCAAGCGTTAATCAATACTTATAGTTACACAAAAATAGGTTACAGATATGTGATGAGTAATGGGACAAGAAGTGTAAACACACCTACGCCCTCATATAAAAACAGTCAGGATTGATAAGCGAATAATTAACAAGGTCAAAATGTGACTCAAGTAGAATGAATAGAATGGCCTGTCCGAAGGCTAGAATAAGGTATATGGGCTTAATATAATAACTGACACTACAAGTGCACTACACCTTTACGTAACTTCATTTAACTTTATTCATTAAAAATCAAACTAGAATTTTATTTCAATCAATAAACTTGAAAAACAAAAGATAAAAATCAAATTTAATCAATTAATGTGGAAATAGAGGTCAAATTACTTTTCAACTAATCAATATAAAAAGTTTATATTTATGTTACTAAGTCTTTGTTACCCTAAACCTATCTATTTTACTAATATCCAGTTATAGATTATCATTTTTCTGTTTATGTTAAAGTAACCATATAATAAAAACGTTCTTTGTTGTATTTTTTTTATAATCAAAAATGAAACCTTGGAACCAACTACACAAAAGAACATAGAATATAGAACAGACTTTGGTAAACACCGATATGGAAATAAGAAATATCAGTTAAAGATATGTCTATTAACTAGATTTCGGACTGAATATCCTTTAAAATTGTATTATCACAAAAACGAAACATTATGTTAAAGCTTTTAGGCTGTAAAAGAATTTTTATTTCTGTTTGATAGAATAAGATTAATCCTTTATTGGAGGATAATACAGCATTTTTTTAAATAAATAGTTATGTCAGAAATGATTCGAATATGTTTAATTTCTCCAGAACCAATTGTCAAGATCATATGATCTATAAAATACACAAATTGACTAAAATTCGCTTGGCTCATCTATATATACATGATGTAATGTATTAGATTAATATATTTAATATTTTACTCACAAATGCGATAAAGTGAACTACAAGTATTCCTATTGACTGGCTATAAATAAGATAAAATACTTAGTAACATGATTTCTGTCGAACTTGAATGACATAATAACCTTGAAAGTTTACTTTAATCTTTCAGATAGAATTTATATCAATCTAAAATTTTTTAAAAATTCATTTGATCTTTACAGTATTACTCTGTGTTATGGTTTAACAGAATAAAAATAATTAAGTCCTAACAGCATATACATTCCAAATATTATCGGTTCGGTTATTATGCTTACATTAATCTAAAAAGAAGAGAGAAGAGAAGATAAGTTATTTCATATGAATATTT